CGGAGCAGCCGAGCCGCTCTTCCGCGCTCCCTCTGCGGCATCTCCATGGGGCCCGCCCGCGGCGCCCACGCGCTCTAAGGTGACAGGGGCCGGGGGTGGTTGTGAGGGGGGACGAGGCCACGTGTCCGTGCGCGGCCCGCCAGCCTGCAAGGCTTTGACTGGCCGGGGCCCTGACTCGGGAGGACCCGCCTGGTCCCGTGGCGCCGCCGCGACCAGGTGCCTCCAGAGGCGAGGAGAGGGACCCTGGCCCGGCCCGATCACACGTGGTCGCAGAGCCGGCCCGCGGGCCACGGTTTGGGAGTTCGCGCCCGGCCGGAACCCTGCGACCTTGGTAAGCCACTTCCCCTCCCGGCTTGGGGTTCTCTCCTGTGAGATGGGAGTTGCTGATCTGCCCTGCGGCCCTGCCTGGGCCGGACGGCGGCCACCTTCCCGCGACGCAGCCCCGCTACTACCCTTCGTTTTTCAGGCCTTAAGACCGTCAGGGCTGGAGGGGGCTTTGCGGAGATCTAGTCCATTATCTGTTTTACATTGATTCCCAAATGACGTCAGCTGTACCGGAAACGGTGAAAAGGCCCGCTCGTTCCTTCAAGCACACTTTTTTTTTTTTTTTGAAGGCCCTTGTGGCGCGCTGTAGCAGGTGCAGGAGAGACGTGAAGCGAGCTTTTCAAGATCTCCTGACCCGCAGTCCGAGACTCCCATCCCTAATGTTCATTTTTATAAGCCTTGTTGCCCTGGGCTTTTTTTTTTTTTTTTAAATTTTAGGTTAGTTATTTTTGCTGTATACAGGGAAATGACCTCCATGTAGCAGCCCGTGGGAGTTGCTTGAGCTAAGGGAGCCTTGTAGTTACTTTGGTAATACTCAGGTGTTCGTGACCTAGTATTTATGTAACGAATCTTTGAATGACTTTGGGATTTAAGAAGAGCCTAGAATATTGAAATTCTATTTAGGCGAACAGACGTTCTCATGGAAGCCAGCCCCAAGAATTTCAAAACAAGACCGATTGTGTTCTAGAATCTTAAATAATCGGTGAAAGTTTTGGGAGCAGAACCTCAAAAATGTCCGGGGAGGACAAAAAATATGCTGACTTATTTTATGCAGACCTGATGTTGAGCATCATTTGTGAAAATTTCTGTTTGAATTAATTCATACCTCTTTCAACGTAACTTCGCTATACAAAAGATGGTCTTAGGTGAAATTTCTCTCTATCACAAGTTTTTGTTTAAATATATAGTAAAACAAAATACTGCATTTCAAAGAAATAAAAACTTTGTTGCCTTAAAGGTATTTAACGAGATCCTAAATAACCCAGTCTGTCACCACTTGAGACTGTTAGCCAATTGTAAATGTTACATAGACAAAAATACGGATTTGCTGGTAGTCTCTCACTTTCCCCTGCGGGTGCTTTAGGCAGCTTACGAGGTTGACAGGACCAAAAAGTCACATCAGATTCGGTCGTAAAACGAGTTCTGCCATGCATGGGTTTGGATTTATGGCAGGCCCATCCCCGTGGGCCTCTCATAGTGTCCCATGCCAGAGCAAACTGTAGCCCCGAACCATTGCCTGGCCTCCTTGACCATAGGCTGCAGGCACTGAAGCGGGTTGCACAGTAGAAAAAAAAGAAACCCTACCTGGCAGAGTTTAAATAGGTTAAAATCAGTAATTTAAAAATAACTTGAAACATCTGCTCTGACCGGGATCACAGTAGAGGGTTCCAGACAGAGCGGGAGAAAACTGTGGAACAAAAAATGCAATTCATAAAGAGAAAAAAAGACCAGATTTACTGGCTTGGTAGAGACTGGAGGAACCTTTGAGACTATGGCCTTAAGACACCTCTCTGACTAGGAACTGCAGCTGTTCCCGGAAATCACCTTTCAGCCAAGCAATAGGACAGGCCTATAAAATAAATGATAACAGCTGAAAAGAATGTGCTTCATAGAACAAACAATTATACATACGAGACCAAAAGGGCAACATTTGCCCAAAAGTAAAGATGAGAAGTTAGGAAGGAGTAGGAAAACCACAGAAAAAGAAACAGGGAACCCTGGACGGAAACGGGGAAAATGCGGACGCAGTGTGGGGATCGTGGCCAATGTCGTGGAATACTTTGTGTACAGTTTGTTGAATGGGAAACTAGTTACTGTATAAACTTTCACCTAAAACACAGTAAAGTAAATAAACAACTGTTATACACCGGTGTCACATTTCATGAAGGCGAAGGACAGTGGCTCTTGTTTTTGTGACTCAAAGTTAGTTAAAAATTACTCCTGTCATAGCTAAGCAAATGTTAGACTGCCTGTAAAGACAGTTGCCTGTAAAGACAGAATTGCAAATTTGGTAAGCAGCACCAGTTAAAGGATGCTGATTTCTGCTCAGAGACAGCAACTATAATACAAAATATTACTGTGCTCTAGACATTTCTGTGTTGCCTATTAGTCACTAAGAAATACTTTGCGTACGATTTAGTGAAAGTGGGAAATGGCAAGATGTTTATATGGTAACTTTTTTGGTGATGGCTGTAGTGCTATTTTAAGGTTCTAAGAGCTGAAACTGCTCCAAGAAATAAAGCAGGCTGACCATTATAAAGCTTCCCCCCCATATCAATGCACTAAGTGCAGATAAGCTTTTGAAACATTCATTCTACTTTTTTTTTGCATTAGTCTTTGAAATACTTACTGTGAGATGTATGGTCCTGTCTATGGAGTTATAGTGTGCTGTTTTGCAAAATCCTAAAATATTGAATCCATGGTGTCATCGGATACTGCAGAGGTAGTTGGAGGCATGTGAATTACAGCTAGGAGTAATTGAGATACCCAAGACGGTGATTGACTTTCTTGAGTGCCCTACCTACTGTGTGTGTGCGTGTACAGTCAATGCCTGGGCCTGATGTTCCTGAACATTTGATGTGTTGCTAAGGTAGACAGCAAATTCTGTGTGTTTCTGTTTTAGCAGAACATTTCCGCTGCTGGACCAAGGGTACAAGCCTGTTATTCAGTGGGATTTGGAATTCCTGGAGAATTGCCTTTGTGAAAAGCTAGAAATAATTTCTTTAAATTCTGTCTCTTAGTTTTCTGTGTAAGTATTTAATTTACACCTTTGTTGCAGGTTGATCTTTTTAAAAATCGCATTGCTAAGGCTTTTCACTGAATTTCTCCACCCTGTTTGCAGTTTGTTGTGTTTCAGAGGACACTGAGAAGCCATGAACAACTTTGGTAATGAAGAGCTTGACTGCCATTTCCTTGATGAAGGTTTCACTGCCAAGGACATTCTGGACCAAAAAATTAATGAAGTTTCTTCTTCGGTAAGTATATTAGGTTCATGCTGGCTGTGTAGCTGTGGGGACATTGGGCAGAAGAATGGGAGACTTCAGTGAGGTCTTGAAAAAATGTAATGGAACTTCCATGTCTTGTTAGGGAAGTTAGAATTTAATCGGCTGTGGATTGCCCAGTAATAATAGCCATATTCATGTCAGTGACTAGACTCAAAGGGTGGTATGCATTGAGAATGATGGGGACTCAGAAGGGAGGCTGCATTTTAGTTTGGCATACGGAAGGGAAGTGCTTCCTTGTAAGGGCTGTAACGAGTAAACCTATAACCGCTCTTAACTTCAGGATGATAAAGATGCCTTCTATGTTGCGGACCTTGGAGACATCCTGAGGAAACATCTAAGATGGCTGAAAGCTCTTCCTCGTGTCACCCCCTTTTATGCAGTCAAATGTAATGATAGCAGAGCCATAGTGAAGACCCTAGCTGCCATAGGGACAGGATTTGACTGTGCTAGCAAGGTAAGCAGAAGCAGTAGGATTCAGAAATGAATATATCATATGGCCCTGTTCCCCCAAAGCAGATGAAAGTTCCATTTGTTGGGCAGTTGGTGCTGATGGGGGAAATGACAACTTCCCATGTTCTTCTGTTTATTGATTCCATTTATTAGCTACATAGGAGTAGTGTGACACCACACTTCTTTTTCAGACTGAAATACAATTGGTGCAGAGTCTCGGTGTGCCTCCACAGAGGATAATCTATGCAAATCCTTGTAAACAAGTATCTCAAATCAAGTATGCTGCCAATAATGGAGTTCAGATGATGACTTTTGATAGTGAGGTCGAGTTGATGAAAGTTGCCAGGGCACATCCAAAGGCGAAGTGAGTTCTTCCTCTGTTTGAAGGGACGGTGGGGGGCAGGAGGTATATATTCTGCTCACACTTAAATTTTCAATTATTTATATTTCTGTACTTTAGTGATGTTTGTGTGCTGGGTCAGAGACAAAATAGAAAGTAATTTAAATCCTCTGTGATGAATAGGAGCCCTGGTGGTGCAGTGTTGAAGAGTTCAGGCTGCTAACCAAAAGGCCCACAGTTTGAATCCCCCAGCCGCTCCTTGGAAACCCTATAGGGCAGTTCTACTCTGTCCTGTAGGGTCCCTGTGAGTCAGAATCGACTCAGCAGCAGTGAGTTTGGGTTTGGTTTTCTGTTGATTAATAATACCATATTAGACTCCAGTCAGAGTACCAGAGTCAGTATTTAGGAAGGGGTGCTCCTATTACTTAAGTGTGAGTGATCTCTGATTACCAGTCTGATGTACTTTTCTCGTGCCTAGGTTGGTTTTGCGGATTGCCACTGATGATTCCAAAGCAGTCTGTCGCCTGAGTGTTAAATTTGGTGCCACACTGAAAACCAGCAGGCTTCTTTTGGAACGGGCTAAAGAGCTGAATATTGATGTCGTTGGTGTCAGGTGAGATCTTGTTGGTGGCATAGTTAGCAGCTTAAGATATTAGGCAGTCAAGTTTTAGACATTTTCTCCTACTGTAAAGGGTTATTTTAAGAAACAGAATCAGCATGTTTCCCTTTTTTCTTTTACTCCAGCTTCCATGTGGGAAGTGGCTGTACCGACCCTGAGACCTTCGTGCAAGCAATCTCTGATGCCCGCTGTGTGTTTGACATGGGAGTAAGTATATGTAAACAAGTATATGTAAACATCAGGTGCCAGGGGCCATTTAGTGCAGTAGGGTGGGCAGGACTGATAGTACCTAGCTTAAGTCTATCTGCTAAATATATATTTTTTTTACTACTTGTTAAAACCTGGCTGTTTGATCAACTTCTTGTTTTTCTTAAAACTCTAGGCTGAGGTTGGTTTCAGCATGTATCTGCTTGATATTGGTGGTGGCTTTCCTGGATCTGAGGATGTGAAGCTTAAATTTGAAGAGGTACTTTATAACAAAACTAATATTAACTATT